TCTGTTTTACATGAAATTATCATTAGTACATTTTTTAACCCCATCAATATTTATAAAATTATATTTTGCTCTATAATTTCCACTATTATTTTAATTCAACATTTAAATGCATCCAATACTTGATTTGCATTTTAATATAAATTTTATAATTGATTTGTCCATTTACAAAATCAATTTTGTAAATGGACAAATCAATTATAAAATTTACATTATATACACACAAACCTGTTGGTATTTTGGTTGGAATTGGACTGGCTCTATGGATTATTTTGTGTTCTTGCGATCATTTTATGCATAGGTTTTGCACTTGTTCCCCTTGGAGAATTACTCATCCCTGAATGGAGCCAGCTATCTGCTGAGTACTGTGGAGAAAGGGCAGGAATTAGTTGTGGAAATCCTCAGCTTCCAATCTGTTGTCTCAAACATTCTCTCACCAGTTCTAAGGAACACACCCGTATTAGTCCATTTTCACACTGCTATAAAGATACTGCCCAAGACTGAGTAATTTGTAAAGAAAAGAGGTTTAACTGACTCGGAGTTCTGCATGGTGGGGGAGGCCTCAGGAAACTTACAATTATGGCCAAAGGGGAAGGGAAAGCAAGGCACATTTTACATGGTGGCAGGCAAGAGTATGTGAAAAAGAGCAAGGAAGTGGCACACTTAAAACCATCAGCTCTTGTGAGAACTCCGTATCACAAGAACAGCATGGGAGAACTGTCCCCATGATCCAATCACCTCTTACCAAGTTCCTCCCTTGACACCTGGGGATTCAATTTGAGATGAGATTTGGGTGGGGACACAGGGCCAGACCATATTAACACCTCTTTGATTTTGTTTTCCAGAAGTTGGTAAAGTTCATATTGAGCAAAGCCTATGAAGCTCCAGGCTCTCTATGTGGGATCTGGTCATTGCTGTCTGCCTTCCCTCCTTTACTTCTTATTACCTATGGTCTAGGAGATTTAATATCAGAAGTCAATACAAATATACATCAGCAAAACTTCTCTATCAACTCCTCTTCTGCTGTTTTGTGGTGTCAAAGTAGGTCTTGGAAGGACTTCCTTGTTCTCCCCTGTGCTAGGCACATCTTGAGACCTCTTGCTCTAATTAAAGGATCACTGAGTCTGTGCTGACCTACTAAACAAATAAAAAACCCAACGTGTGTGTGTGTGTGTGTGTGTGTGCATGTAGGTATGTGTGTATGTCCCACTTTGTTCCAAAGAGGAGTTGATGGAGCTTCCAAGAATACACACAACACTAAAGAAAAAGAAAATGAAGGCTAATGGAAAAATAAGAAAAATGAGATGAAGCATAGTAAAGGCCATATATACCCAAAATATAATTATGTACCTTATTGTACATAAACGTACCTTAAATATCACCCTGTGATATTCATAATATCCTTTAAGTAATGTTAAGTACCATAATACTTAAGGTACACTTATGTACCTTATTGTATTTATCAGACATGGGCCACAAATTTGGCCAAAACATTTATCAGACACAGGCCACAAATCTGGCCAAGTGCTTTCTAGAAACTAATACAAAAACAAGAATAGGATCTTTTATATGAATCTGTATCCATAACTTAACAAGTCATTTAGAAGCTCTTCTTTCAAGAAACTCAGGTGTGAAAGGGAGAACACACAAAGTATAAAATAATGTAGAGTTAAAAGAGTTCTTCAATTAGGAGGCTTGTGCATGTTTTTAGATAAAAATAAAAATGGGTGAGAAGAAAAAGGTATGAATGAAATGCAGGTATGTAGTGTTATATACAAAGTAAATGGTACTGAAATGGTGACTATCGACCCTTTTTCTTCATTATATTAATTTTTTAAAATCCAGTATTGACTCATTTTGAAAAGTAAGAGAACTTTTGATACAAATCTGTCAACTTTAATACAGCTGTTTTATTATTTTGGACTGGAGCAAGGTATGACAGAGTACAACAGTATTTGTCACCTTCCTATATATTTCTTTATAGCTTTTCTTCACACACATTTATCAAATAGCAACAAGTGTCCAGTTTTTCCAATTAAGTAATGTACACTAAAACAACTGGTATATAATAAATTTGATTTATTTGATTGGTTGTAGATTATATACTCTCTACAATCTGACACTTGGTAGAGACGAGGAAGTCTCTGTCCCAAGGAATTATTTCTTTGAATTCAGCAGTCTGTTTTGCTTTCTAAAATGATTTCATGTGCTATAAATATTAACTCGTCTAAAAGATTAAGGCATTTTCACATTTTCACACATCTCCCCTCCCCCTACTTTTCTTTCCTAGTATAGCCAACAAGGTTGGCTTTAAATATTATTAATTTGCAATGCATCTGAGCCACATAATAAACATTACTTTGGGAACATAGCTATGTTCATCAGTGAACAAACAAAGGCAGTGATTCCCTGATGTCAGTATGCCACTAGATCACCCCAAGTCCAAAAGGAAGGCCACCACTGTTCCAAAATCAGGGGCAGGTTAAGTGGGATCGAAATGGCCCCACTTACTTTTCCCCTACCTGGTAATCCAGACCAGGATGAAAATAACCTGTATCCAGACTTGATTCAGAGATTCTGAACTGATATGCCCAATGGGTTTCTGTGAAATGTCCCAAGTAAGAAACTGATTTTGGGTTTGGGTGCGATAGCTTACATCTGTAATTCCAGCACTTTGGGATGCGGAGATGGGTGGATCCCTTGAGGTCAGGAGTTCGAGACCAGCCTGGCTAACATGGTGAAACTCCATCTCTACTAAAAAATACAAAAATTAGCTGGGTATGGTGGTAGGTATCTGTAATCCCAGCTACGGGGGAAGCTGAGGCAGGAGAATTGCTTGAATCCAGGAGGCAGAGATTGTAGTGAACTGAGATCGTGCCACTGTACTCCAGCCTGGGTGACAGAGTGACACTCCATCTCAAAACAAACAAAAAAAATTGATTTTGATCCAGATAATCTCTCTTTTTGTTTAATGTAATTTAGAGCAACAGCCATTGATTCAATCTAGCTATTTTATAAGTTTAACTATAGTTGCTATGATGAACTCATTATGTTAACAAAACAAATCACAATTTTCTTTTGTATTACTTATCTATGCTTTGTAAAACACCACTTTTCCAGTCCTAGAAAAAAGTTATAAAAAAGTGACTTAAGTGAAGATTTATATAAGGCATAGTGTCTAAAACTTGAGTTCTTGTCCAATTATGGCTTTCTAATATTTCAATCTTCTGAAATGACTGATAGCCATATTTGGTCTTAGGTTTGCAATTCTATTTTTACCTGGAGTTAGCCTCTAAACTTTATATAACAATAATAAAGATATAACAGTAAATTTTAACAGCAATTTGCAGTTTTAAAATGCATTCCCAGTTGTCATTTCATTTGATTCAGCATTCCACAGATATTAATTGAGCATAGACTAAATGCTAGGCAGTTAGGTAGGGCAGCTGTTACTATACCCATTTGAGAAAACAAGTGATCACAGATGTTAAGTGAAGTCTCTAGGATTATATGACTGCCAAAGTGGGGAAGCCAGGAAATGAACCTGGGTTCCCGTTGAGAAGTCATGTAGTGTGCAGAGATTAGGAGCAGACTCTGAAACTATGCTGCTTTGGTTTAGATACCACTTCTGCCACATTCTAGCTGTTAAACCTTTGGCAGTTACTTCACCTCTCTCTGCTGGGATCTGCTGTGAAGGGACTGGGAATATTCACAAAGCACTTAGAACCTGGTAGTAAGAACTAAGTCAGTGTTTACTGTTATTACTTGGTGTTCAGGCTAGTATTGTTTTTGGCATTAAGCTACTTCTATCTTTATATAGATTGATAGACTATGTCCAGTGGAATTTTTCTGCATTTTTTAACTGTCAAATTCATTTGGCAAAATCACTATATATCTGTCATTTGGCCTGTGTGACTAAAATGGTCTATTTGGAATAACTGAGTTTTAAGAAACCACCCCCAGCTTTATATTCTCATTTTCTTCCTTTTTTCTTTTCCTTTTTTTGAGACAGAGTCTTGCTTTATCACCCAGGCTGGAGTGCAGTGGCACAGTCTCAGCTCACTGCAACCTCCACTCCCCAGGGTTAAGCAGTCCTTCCACCTTGGCCTCCTGAGTAGGTGGGACCCCAGGTACACACCATCACGCCCAGCTATTTTTGTATTTTTAGTAGAGATGGGAGTCTCACCATGCTGCCCAGGTTGGTCTCGAACTCCTGAGCTTAAGCCATCTATCCACCTCAACCTCCCAAAGTGCTGAGATTACAAGCATGAGCTACCATGCTCAGCGTATATTCTCATTTTCTAGAACACTAAGAAATGAAAGCTGATCCGTATGTGAAGAGAAGTAATGACAAACTCTTAGAAGAAAGGTCTAGTTAAGTCTTAGTAAAATAGAATTACATGAAGACATTTTAAGGGTAACATGGAAGGATTTCACTATTTTTTCCTATATATATGGTAGATATTTTTCAATAAAATATATTATTTTTCCTACATATACATGGTATTTTTCCTACAATACAAATTACAGTGTAATTTGCAATTTCTGAAAGACCAGTGGTTTCTATGATCACTCTAAAATTATGTGGTAGGTAAGGTAACATGTCTGACAACTGGACCTCTCCCTGAAATTCTTTATTAACGCTCTTCAATTAATACCAGCATGTTTTAAATCTATTGTTATTTATTTTAACAGTCCTGGAAGAAAACACCTATTTACTCCAAAAATGTAAACAGTGATTACATGAATATTAGCTAACAGTATCTATTTTTATAGTTTAAATCAAATTATCTTACTCAAAGTGCAGAAGAGGGGTTTACTTAGTCCATGAGATAAAGACTGAAAGTGAGCCAAAAAAAGAGAATGAAAACAAGAAAACCAACCAGACAAAAAAGTATTGAAAGACCTAGATTTTGTTATTGTTAAGCATAGTTTCATTTGCTTGTGTGTTCAATCAGAGGCAAATTAATGATTGCATTTTATTGTGAATTTTCATCTTACAGAGTTTAAACATCTTCCAGAACCTAAATAAGCGGCAGTTTGAAACAGTTATTCATTTGTTTGAGGTCGCAATAATAGCAACTGACCTGGCTTTATATTTCAAGTAAGTACATAAAACATAACTGCACAGTGGAATGCCTTATACTCTGTGTGGTTTTACCTTCCATAAATTATCTGTTGCACTGATGTTAAAAGGCGTCATACACACACACATACACACACACACCCCATGCTTTCGTTTTGGATTACGAAGTAGAGTATCTTCAAGAAGATGCATGCCAGTAAATTTACTAGACATCTGCGAACATATTTTAAAAACATAAGCTCCTAATATTAAGCAGTTTGTTATCTGAAAAAGTTTGAATTGAAGAATATGCAGTCAAATTTGTGCCTTGCCAAAATAGTAAAGCCAAGAGAACTCACAAGGTGGCTTTTTGTCCTGGTGAATTCACTATGGTCTAGAATCTGGTATTTTAATGTTTCAGGCACCGAAACTGGATTCTGTCAAAGTCTAGGAGCTGAACAATTTTGTTGGCACTGACACACATTATTCAAACTTACAAAATTGAGTCATACATAGCAGAGAGCCAGCCTATTTACAATAGTAATATTGCCAAGGAGATCAGATACTCCCAGTATCTACACATTTTCTCATAAGTGAATTATAAAGTTGCTTGGTGAAAATGGATTAGAACAACATGACCTAGTTACAGGATTCTAATATTCAGTGACTTGGGCATTGTCAAATTATGCCTTTCTGATCCTTCTTAATTAAATATTTAATTAATCAATTAATTTGTTTGTTTATTTGAGACGGAATCTCATTCTGTCACCCAGGCTGGAGTGCAGTGGTGCAATCTCGGCTCACTGAACTTCTCAGGTTCAAGTGATTCTCCTGCCTCAGCTTCCCGAGTAACTGGGACTACAGGCACCTGCCACCACACTCAGTTAATTTTTGTACTTTTTGTAGAGACAGGGTTTCAGCATATTTTCCAGGCTGGTCTCGAAATCCTGACTTTGTGATCCATCTGTTTTGGCCTTCTAAAGTGTTGGGATTACAGGCGTGAACCACTGCACTTGGTCTTTTCTTACTCTGGCCACCTGGACTGGAGTGCAGTGGCATGACCGTGGCTCACTGCAACCTCTGCCTTCTGGGTTCAAGCAATTCTCCTGTCTCAGCCTCCTGACTAGCTGAAACTACAGGCTCCCGCCACCATATCTGGCTAATTTTTATATTTTTAGTAGAGACGGGGTTTCACCATGTTGGCCAGGATGGTCTCAAACTCCTGACCTCAAGTGATCTACCCACCTCAGCCTCCCAAAGTGTTGGGATTACAGGTGTGAGCCATTGCACTGGGTCTAAATATTTAATTATTAAATAGTTCAATGTGAAGACAAGTACTAAGAATAATAAAATGGATATCCAAATATCTATAGCCCAGATTTAACAAACGCTAAATTTTGCCACATTTGCCTCAGATTTTGCTTTATAAGGAGAAAAAAATTAGTGATGCAATTGAATGTTTCCACCCCTACTCCACTATGAAAAATCCTTTCCCTTCTCCCACAAAGATATCACCATCTGATGTTGATGTGTATTCATCATTTCCATCCATGTTTTTATGCAGTATTGTTGTTTTAAATTATTCATAAATGGTATCATACTATCTGTATATACCTATCTGAAACTTGCTTTATTCATGCAACATGCATTTTATTTTATTTTTTATTTTATTATTTTTTTTTGAGACGGAGTTTCGCTGTTGTTACCCAGACTGGAGTGCAATGGCACGATCTCGGCTCACCGCAACCTCCGCCTTCTGGGTTCAAGCAATTCTCCTGCCTCAGCCTCCCGAGTAGCTGGGACTACAGGCGCGCAGCACCACCATGCCCAGCTAATTTTTGTATTTTTAGTAGAGACGGGGTTTTACCTTGTTGACCAGGATGGTCTCAATCTCTTGACCTCGTGATCCACCCGCCTTGGCCTCCCAAAGTGCTGGGATTATAGGCTGCAACATTGCATTTTAAAGATTTATCATTGATAATAAATGGAGCTCCAATGCATCCATTTTAACTGAACAGAGTATTCAACTATTGAATATTCATAATTAATTTACCCACTCCTCTATTCATGAACATTTAAACTGTATCTAATTTTTCATCAGTGTCTACAATGCTACCTAATATGTCCCTGTATATATGAGTTTCTCTAAGAAATGTAAAAGTGAGATGCTGTAGGATTTGCATGTCTTCAATTTCATGCTACATTATAAAACTGCACTCCTGACAAGTTGTGCCAGTTTACACTCCAATCCACAGTGTACAAGAGTTCCAGCCAAGTGAGGTGGCTCACGCCTATAATCTCAGCACTTTGGAAGGCCAAGGTGGGAGGATCACTTGAGGACAGGAGTTTGAGACCAGCATGGGCAACATAGCAAGATTATGTCTCTACAAAAAAATTTAAAAATTATCCAGGCATGGTGGAACATGCCTGTAGTCCCAGCTATTGGGTAGGCTGAAGTAGGAGGATCGCCTCAGCCCAGGAGTTCAAGGCGCCAGTGAGCTAGGATCAGGCCACTCCACTCCAGCCTGAGAGGTAGAGCAAGACTTTGTCTCAAAAAAAAAAAAGAGAGAGAGAGAAACATATCCCATATCTGAAGTACTCTTGAACTCAGCACATTCAATATTTATTTTGCTAATATAATGAATGTGAGATATTGTTCAAGTCTGTAGTTTCTTGATTAGCAGTGAGACCAGCTGAGCATCCATGTATTTTGGGTTCCAATTTTTGTTGGTTATATATGTTGTGATATCTTATCACAGTTTGCGGCTTTTATGTTTAGCTATGGTCTCTTTTCTCATATGTAATTTTTTATTTACTTTCATTTTTAAAGAGACAGGACCTTGTTTTGTTGCCCAGGTTGGTTTAAAACTCCTGGCTTCAAGCAATCCTCCCACCTTGGTCTCCCAAAGTGTGGGGATTACAGATGTGAGCCACTGCACCCAGCCTTGTATGTAACTTTTTCATTTTAATGTATTTCAAGTTACCTGTTTGTTTTTTTCTCTTTATGGTTTGTGCTTTTTTTCTTCCTTAAACTCTTTCTGAGCCAAAGTTATACCACCATTCTCTGCTCTCTTATCTTCTGGCCCTGCAGACTTTGCTATATGGATATCACAATGCAAAGTGGGAACATGAAATCTGAAAAGCATGTATTTAAGATACTTTTCCTTTCTGCTTTTATATGCTAAATTTGTTGCTCACAGCTGTATCTTTTCTAGGAAGAGAACCATGTTTCAAAAAATTGTTGATGCCTGTGAACAAATGCAAACGGAAGAAGAAGCCATCAAATATGTAACTGTTGATCCAACCAAAAAAGAGATTATCATGTAGGTAGTCAAAATTTTATTTCTCTCTTGTTTTTTGCAAAAGACAATTTATTTTGTACTTATTTCTATTTAAAACTTTTTGTTTTCTTCCTAAGGGCAATGATGATGACTGCATGTGACTTGTCTGCTATCACCAAACCCTGGGAGGTACAAAGTCAGGTGAGTCCAGTTAAGTTTTCTTTTCTGTCACACTGTCAGCTACTATCTAGGTCCCATGTAAATGCCCATCTAAAGATCTTTGGCAACCTCAGAATTGTGAAAAATTACAAACATTAGTGAGACAGTACAAAATTTGATTAGGCCCTAGAATAAGGCAAATAGAAGGAACTTTGGAAGGAAAATGCTTTCTTGAAAGACTTCTTTAACATTGAAACACTATAAACCATTTATATAAAATTATTCAAGAAATGCTTGAGTTTTTAAATAGAGGAGTGTATTAGCCTGTTCTCATACTGCTACTAATAAAGACATACCCAAGACTGGGTTATTTATAAAGGAAAGAGGTTTAATAGACTCACAGTTCATATGGCTGGGGAGGCCCCACAATCAAGGCAGAAGATGAAGGAAGAGCAAAGGGACATCTTATATGGTGGCGGTAAGAGAGCTTGGGCAGAACTCCCATTTATAAAACCATCAGATCTTGCGAGACTTATTTAGTATCACTAGAACAGCACAGGAAAGACTTGCTTCCATGATTCAATTACCTCTCACTGGGTCCTTTCCATGAATTGGGAATTACGGGAACTACAATTCAAGATGATATTTGTGTGGGGACACAACCAAACTATATCAATAAGGAAGTCAGAACAAGATTAGGATGAATCATTAGTGTTTCCCTCTATCAAGGGTGTTTTTGCTACCACAGTCTCTTCTTCAATGAGCTGTGAGTTATAAGAAGGCACTGACTATGAGCTGATGTCTAAGGTTGCCTTCCACAGAAGTTCTTCCCTTATCTTGGGGAGGCACTGGTCTACCACTTGCTTTCTTACTAATTGGATGAAAGAAGCTTCTCTTTTTCCTCCAATAATTTCTAGAGAAACCCCAAGCAGAAGAGACGCCAGAATTAAATGGGTTTAACTGTAAAAGTGGATTGTATCTTTTTATAAAGATAGAATAACTGGAATTCATTGTAGGGGAGGAAAAATATCTCTTTCTCACTCATCCTAGGTTCATGACTGAGGCCCCTGTAGCAAAAGACAGATTAACAAAAGAAAAGCATACACATCTATTTGTTTTACATGTGAAACAGGAGCCTTAGTAAGGAAACAAAAAGCCTAAGAAACAGTTAAACTTGTATATTTTTATGCTAAATAGAATTGAGAAATAGAATTAGACAAAGAGGGTCTGATATAACTGTGGGGGAAGCTTAGCAAGGCCAGTTTGTTCAGATTCTTCTTGGCATCTTTGTGTCTTTGGCTTCTTACCTCCAGGAATAAGGAGGGTACCACTTGAATGAAGGTCTTATGATCTGCTTCAAGGAAAGGTCAGAAATCTTTACCTGGTTTTATGACCTACTTCAGGGGAGAAGGTGGGGGGATGGTGAGACTGATCTTCCTGCTGCTTTAGTTTTCTCATATTCCATCACCTTAAAATATTTTGGGGCAGGGTTTCCTGAACTCTGTCACCATCAAGTCCAAAACCAAACACTTCCTCTTCTTCCACCTTGATAGGCCTGCTCTGCCTCCTCTGTTCTTTATCAATGTGGTCACCCAAGCTAGAAACCTGGGGTCTTTCTTGAGCTTATCTCCCTCTTTCAAAAGCATTTCTACCAGCCTTGCTAGTACGTCAGTTCAGACTTTCACCAGAAATATGCTGGCAGCCTCCTAATAGATCCTTACATCAACTCCACAACTCATCCTCTGATTTGCTGCCAGGATGTTTATACACAGAGCTCAACTCAGCCATTCTACTCCTTAAAAGCTCATACTCCCCACTGCCAGAAGTTTCCAACTTTTTGTTCCCCAAAGAAGTAAAGTCTATTTTCCCTCAACAAAACTTGCCCAAAGATCACTTCATAAAAGAAAAAAGCAAAGCTGCTTTAGCTTTCATCTCTCTTGGCCTCCACATTCTTGGGTCCCTAGAGCACTTCAGAGGAATCTTAGGCTCCAAGAGTAAAAAGCACTAGTCTAGAGAATCAAATTCAAGCTTCCTGGCAAAATTTACATGGTCCATCACTACCTGTTCTTAACTCACCCTCCAGCATCATTTCCCATCACCTTCTCCCATGTCATTGCTTCACACTCTAAGCTTGTATTCACGTAAGTTTTGTATGTTCCATTTTATCTCTGTAAATATTTTTCCTCTCCTCTTTTCCTGGAAAACTACTCTTATTCTTGACAATACAACATAAATGCTACCTCCTTCCTTCATGAAACTTATCTTTACTCCCTTCTCCCTGATCCATAGCAAGTACACTATTATTGTTATAGCACTTACCACATGGTTTACATGACTGTCTTCACTAGACTGTGAACATTTTAAAAGAAAAAGATCACACTTTATTCCTCTTGGCAAGCCTGGCTCATCCCAGTGTAAAGGCAGCTAGCAGGTATTCAATGAACTTGATAAATATTGTTTTTTAAAGTGATTATAAATTAATGCTGGAATATCCTCACACTGTAAATAGGTAAAACTACGTATTAATCACATGTGCATTCACAGATGTATGCTACACGTTAACAGATAGACAGGACAAAAGAAAACCTGGGAAGTGTTAGAACTTGAAGCATAATATTTAATCCTCCTATTTCTCCTTTTCATTAGTGAGAATGGTGGCAACAGTAAATAGGAGATAGATGTCCCAGAATAAGCCTAGAACACTGAAGCAGGAAGAAAAAGCTCCCTTTCCCATTTCAATATAATCTGTAAAATTTTAAAACTTTAGAGCCTATGGTCTGATAGCACCTCAAGCACTGACTGTAAACTCAATCCTTAAATGTCACATGTACTAATAAAATGCAAGTTCTCTATTAATAAGCGGATTTAGTGAACCAAGCCTTTCTCATTTGCAGGTAGCACTTATGGTTGCAAATGAATTTTGGGAACAAGGAGATCTGGAGAGAACAGTGTTGCAGCAACAACCTATTGTAAGACCTTGACATAAAAATGCATCACTTATTAAAAGTGATCAGGACAAATCGATCTGTTTTGTTCACTACATCTTAGAAACCTATCTTAAAGAATTTATTTCTCTTTTTAGCCTATGATGGACAGAAACAAAAAAGATGAACTACCTAAACTTCAAGTTGGATTTATCGATTTTGTTTGTACTTTTGTATATAAGGTAAGAAGCAAATTATCTGAATTAAATATATAAACATTTGGATGAAAATTTTTCTTTCAAACTGTCACCAAAATTTAAAAGTCATCCATATGGAAAGTCATCGCAGGTGTCACGGTTTCTCCAAAGCAGTTTGAGGTTTTATCCTAATCTCATTCAGGACTGGAATAAAGGGAGGAAACACAGATGTGAGAGAACTGAACACTTCTTTAGGCAGGCAGGAAAGACAGCGCCTGTCTCTTTGTCAAACTTCATAGGCCCTAAGTTAAGCTTATCCTAGCAGCTCTGAGTGGTGCAACAATTCCTTACAGCTCATTCTCTGCCTATTAAAAGCCTGAAAATTAACTGTATGATTTATGTAGTCGCTGACCTAAAATTCTCTTCAGGAGTTCTCACGGTTTCACAAAGAAATCACACCTATGCTGAGTGGTCTTCAGAATAACAGAGTAGAATGGAAATCCCTTGCTGATGAGTATGATGCAAAGATGAAGGTCCTTGAAGAGGAGGCAAAAAAGCAAGAAGAAGGAGCCGAAAAAGGTTAGATTGGCTTTGTTTTTGCTCCCTGTAATGTAGCCAGAAGCTAGGCTGAGCTTAATGGCATGTGACAAAGGCATAAAGAATTACTAAAACAGGACACCTGCTTTACTGGAGCAGACTGACAATTTTAAGAGGTCAATTAGTGGTTTTCAGGTATCCCTCGACCACGACCCAGCCAGCTCCGCCACAAACAACATCTTATGTATAACACTGGATAGAACTGACTGGTCCAGTTGAAGTAGAGATTGGAGCTAGCCTGCTTCATCCTTCTAGAAGGTGGCTCCTCTGAAGAACACTGGGTGGTTAGGAATAATATGAAAACCACAGAATCTGTGGGATGAGGGTTAGATGAGAAAAAAGTTTTTATCCCAACATTATGCATTAGCTGTGAGACTTTGGGCAGCTTGCTTAACCTTGCTGAGCTTAATATTCTTCTCTATGTAATTAGATGGTTTTACAGATCTTCAACTTAAGGAAGTCAGACACGTAGAGTAAGGCTGAAATTGCCTGTCTCCACATTGGGAGACGTTTTTCTGGCATGAGATTTCTGTGCCATTTTTTTTTTCTGGCATGAAATTTCTGTTCCTAAAGTCACTTTGTCAGGTTTAATGTTTTCAGATTCTCAAAATGCTTAGAATTAACCATTAGTTCATCAGATGGCCCAAACATCATCTTGAAAGTAGAATGCTAATTTTTGTCTTGAAAGTTTATCACTCTAAAGGTTTTGTAAGCAACTGTTACTGCTTAACAAAGAAATCATCTCTATGTGGAAAGGTCCTGAAAGAAAACATGTTCCTTTTAGGTGGTTCTATTGCATTTAGTAAAATTTTAAATAATTTGTAGGAGAAAATGTTTGTCTTAATAAAGATAAGGGTGTCCTTCAGCAGAATAAAAACAGGAGTTTCTGACTCCTTGACTAAATATAGACACAATAGTCTGAATACTAAAAGAAAATGTCAGGAGTCACTTAAAGGACCTGATCATCTCTTCATAATAAAGTTGAGATAAAGGTTAAATCTAATAGTACTAAGAAATACCCTCACTTTTCAATTGCACACCCTCACGTTTGCCTTATCCTCTAGACATTTTCTTTTAGTATTCAGACTAAGTATTGTGGACTAAGATCACTTATGTATTTATCAATGTCTACTCTGTACAAGGCCCTGTGTTAGGCAGGCCCTGGGGAAAGATGAGATCCTTTATCTTGAACAATTTAGCATTTGGTAGGGGAACTAAATAAACACTGTGAACCAATGCACAATTAATGATCTCAAAGAAAGCACTAGTGTGTACATGGGGTATGGAGAAGGCTTTCCTGAAGAATGCTTATGCTAACCACAGAAAGGAGGAGTCGGGAGGAAAAGTAAGAAAATAGGTACAAAGGCTTGCAGTAGGAATAAGCTTGGTGCAATTGAAAAATAAAAGCTGATGTAGCTGGAGTCTAAAGATCAAAGAGTGCAAAGTACAGATGAAGCTGGTAGTGCAGGCAGCTGTCAAGATACTGTATTGCCTTGAAGGCCGAGGTAAAAATTTTTGTGTGTCATTCGAGAGATTTAAGGTATGATTTGCATTTCAAAAAGATAAGTGATTTTTACCAAGCAAGTGAAAAATAAGGATATATCTTAGTACTATCAGATTTAACCTTTATTTCAACTTTATTATGAAGAGATCATCAGGTCCTTTAAGTGACTCCTGACATTTTCTTTTAGTTTTCAGTATATTGGATATGGATCTATACTTTATTTGCATAAAAATTTACTTCTGAGTTTTCTACTACACAGATAATTCTTTGTGGACTAAGATCATTATTTTGTATTGCCAGACATGGAGTTTTGTGCATCAAGCTCAGGTTTCCAGATTGCATTGTCTCAGTAAAAAACTAAGATGTTATCGGCCAACCATTTATCAGATTCTATTATTTTTCTGAGACGGAGTCTCATTCACTCTGTTGCCCAGGCTGGAGTGCAATGGCATGATCTCAGTTCATTGCAACCTCTGCCTCCCTGATTCAAGCAATCCTCCCACCTCAGCCTCCTGAGTAGCTAGGATTACAGGCGCACACCATCATACTCAGCTAATTTTTATATTTTTAGTAGAAACAGGGTTTCATCATGTTGGCCAGGCTGGTCTCACACTCCCGACCTCAAGGGATCCACCTGCCTTGGCCTCCCAAAGTGCTGGGATTATAGGCATGAGCCACTGCGCCCAACCCAGATTCTATTTTTTAAGTGACCAACCCTAAATATTAATTCAAGTTTTTACATGGTCAAACCCACAGTACTTGCTAGGTTAAAATTACTAATCAGTCTATAAAGTTGACACTGCTATATGGGAGTGTTAGAATGAAAACACTATATATCCACTAACTCCTAATAATATTGCTTTCCTTGATTTTACTAGCTGCTGAAGATGCAGGAGGTGGTGATGATAAGAAGTCCAAAACATGTTTAATGTTGTAATATAATCTAATCGGTCTAAACTTCAAGTATCATTGTATCTTTGAAGAAAACCAGAAAATATTCAAAAGAACTTCAGCAAATCATCAAGTAACAGAGTAAGAGGATCTTCAGAAAAACTACCCTTTTACTATGAGGAAACTATATATTGCTAGCCCGAACACCCCAAGGGCAAAATAAAGTTCAACAAAAGTGCAAAATATGACAAAAATGGGTACATTTTTGGTGCCAATTTATTTTAAATTAAAAAATATGCAATCCTGAAACTAGTCACAAATTATTTTTTCAAACATTAATTGTATTTATTTGCTAAGGATGCCATAACAAAGTACCACAGACTGGGTGCTTAACCAATAAAAATGTATTTTCTCACAGTCTTGGGGGCTGGAAGTTCAAGATCAAGGAGTTGGCAGGATTGGTGTCTTGTGAGGCCTCTCAACTTGGTTTGCAGATGGCCATCTTCTCCCTGTGTCTTTACATGGTCATCCCTCTGTGTGACTGTGTCCTAATCTCCTTTTCTTATTAGGACTCCAGTAGGATTGGATTAGGGCCCACGCTCGTGACCTCATTTTAGTCTTAAATCACCTCATTAATGGCCTTATCTCCAAATACAGTCACCTTCTGAAGTAATGGGAATTACGACTTAAACATATGAAATAGGTGGGGGGTGGGTGAGACACAATTCACCCATAACATTTATAATTGTGATTCATATCTCAAGCCACTCCCTGAACTAAAATCTTTCAATATGTCTTAATGAAAGGGTAAATGCAATATAGAATGTATAGTGTTATAAATATGGTATAGAAAACAAAGTAATGATGTCATTTTTATTCAGTGTTATTCCATCTGAAATGCTTATCTCTTTCCTCTACTTTTACTCTTGATAATAGCATGAGGAAGACCAAACCATTTTTTGGCAGTTTATTAAAACTATGCCTCTGTCCTATACTCCTCCTTCAAAGTTTGAAATCAATTATTTTATGTATAACTAAGAACATTTTTTATGGTTCAGAACTATTCATTAAAAGGATTATCAAAGCACAAGATACAAACTGGATAATCCCAATGCAAGTTAAAGCAGCTAATGAATATTATGCATTAAGAAGCATGTAATTGGATTATGCAAGAACTTCCTTACCAAAAACAGTGTGGAAAAACTTCAGCTAAGATTACTTTCTAAAAATGATTAATAGAACTACCTAGTAGGCATTCTAAATATTAAACTGTTAAGAGAAACTAAAGACAATCAGCTACTTCCACTGCATGGTGTATGTCTGTCTGGATATCACAGCAATTTCAGATTTCTTCCTTTACTTAGCTATAATCATAGATAAAATTAGGAAATAGAAATACTATAGTTATGCCATATGTTTTGTCAGCTTTTTTTTGTTAAAAGCCATCTACATTCTAACGAATCAAAGATCAATAAACCTTTATCTTTTGTAATGAACCTATATCAATTTTGAGCAGCCAAGAAATGAATCACCATTTGTCTGACTTTTACAAGTTAGGTACTTAGAATTGTAAGGCTGCTTCTCTCACATTAGAATGTAAAGTTCATGAGGAAAGATTTTTGTCTGTTTTGTCTGTTTTGTTCACAGCTCTATCTTGGCACCTAGAGCAGTGCCTGGCACAAGGTAGGCACTCAGTAATATGAATGAATACTATTGTGAGTAAATATTACAACAGATATAAATAAGGTCCGACAGTAAGTCATATGTACACTCAAATGAGTGTTTATTAAAGTAATCAACTAGCTAAGTGATGCATGCTCCCTTATTTCCATTGCTTAAGATAATTTTGAAACTCCACTTCCAGAATCACTATTATTTTAAAAGCCAAGTAAGAAACTTTATATTCCTTTAGCCCTATGTAATTTTGGACTCCAAAATATCAGTCAGCTCAAACAACTTCCCCTCCTTAGTCACCAGAAATTGTTTTAAGGGTAGAGGTGTCCACCACTGAAGGTCAGCTAAATACATGAACTCTGCATAAGAGCAAGTAGAAGAAAGCATAACTTCAACACCCCAGACCAATGGTCTGCTGACCACCACTGACTGCACCATAGCAAAGTTTGAGATAGATATGTAGGAGGATTACTTTTTAAATCATGTTAGAGGCCTTTTCAAGACTCCCGAAAAACATGACCCCCATTATCTGTCATTGTGTATGAATAGATTAAATGTTGTGATTTTATATAAATTTATAAATGAGCCTGATGTCATAAACCATACTTGAAATACCAAATATACTGATCTATTTTTAAAGGGTCTTATATATTCTTCCTAGTTAAATTCCTAATTTAATTTTGCAGGAATTTTATTTCCCGACGACCACTAAACAAAGGACATATTTTACCATAAGAATGTTTAACTGCATATATTCTACCACGGATATCAATCTTGCTGCTGGACATTTCAAGCACTTTTTCCTCAGAAATGTAGATTCGTTTTTATATACTATAAGTAGTGAGGTGAAAAAAATCAGTTTATTCAAGTGAGGGGACTATCAAACAATGTTAAATACTGATAAACCCAACACTGATTAACTTTTCTGAAAGAGGTTCAGAAATGATTGCATAATTACTTCCCAGCTAGTTCCTTTACGGACAAGCCCCGCTCAGTGCCTAACACATAATAGAAGCCTGATAAATATTTGTGGAATAAATAACAACTTTTTAATAAAATGAAAATACCTGATAATAATCATTTTAAAATAAGATACCAAATTACTTATTTTGGAGTTTAATGCCAATCATTCCATGTTTAAATCTTCAATAAAATACTTGCTTATGTTATGATTATTTTCTATATGTCTTTTCTCTTATTCATCAAGTCAAGCAACTTCTCCTATATCTATCCATCTATTTGCTCTTTATAAAAGCAGGTATTTACCTGTTTTCAGAAATCAATAAATCCTTTTGAAAACTTGACATTTATGGACTTCCTCCAAAAAACATACCATAGACACAGAAGTTTACACATAGATTCTAAAAAGGTATGGATCTCCTGAAGCATCTCCATAGACCCTTATGAGTAAGATCTTATGTTAAAAAGTTACATTTTATATTTCTTCATAGAAGATGTATTAGTCCATTTTCATGCTGCTGATAAAGACATACCCAAGACTGAGAAGAAAAAAAATTGTAATTGGACTTACAGTTCCACATGGCCGGGGAAGCTTCAGAATCATGGTGGGAGGCAAAAGGCACTTCTTACATGGCAGCAGCAAAAGAAAATGAGAAGGATGCAAAAGCAGAAGCCCCTGATAAAACCATCAGATCTCATGACACTTATTCACTACCATGAGAACAATATGGAGAAACCGTCCCCTTGATTCAAATTATCTCCCATTGGGTCCCTCCCATAACACGTGGGAATTTTGAGAGTACACATTCAAGATGAGATTTGGGTTGGGACACAGAGCAAAACCATATCAGAAGCATATTCATAATTTTATGAGTGTATCCAAGGTAAGCTATATGCACACAAGATTATTCAGTTAAATTATCTCATTGCATAATCTCTGTTAAGAGAGTCAATTTTGTGAACACATGCACTATTTTAGACTACTAGGACCTCACTGGCTCCCTGTGGTAATCATTTACTTAACAGTAAATTATCCACAGGCTAAGAAGTCAAATTTGATTATAACAAACTCTCTTAAGTGGTAGAGATAAGAAAGAAGCAAGAGACAGGCAAGCAAAAAACCCCAAAAAGCAGCTGGAAATAGGTGGGAAAGCAGGTGCTTAATAAAAGGGTGCCAGTTTATCAATGGGAAAGAGGTTAAAGACATACATAATCTACTTTAATCCTAGTAATTTAAAATAATTGACAGGGCTCAGTGGCTCACACCTGTGATCCCAGCACTTTGGGAGGCCAGGATGGGAGGAATGCGTAAAACCAGGAGTTTGAATACCTCCCTGGGCAACACAGGAGGACTCTGTTTCAACAAAAGAAAAAAAATTTAAAAAAAACAAACAAATCCAATATGGTGGCTTAAAAAAAAGAAAAAAATAATTAAAAAAAATAATGAAGGCAAGAGAGGATAAATATAAATCAGTGAAAAAAATATATAGGAACAATGGAATCTGTACAGAATATGAGCTCTGTCCCCTAGGAGCTACAGATAAAACAGAATTGTAGGTAAGCAATTGAAAAGATATTTAAAGGATAGGGAAGTCTTTAATTGAACTAATGAATTTCCAAAGTAATTGACATTATAAGAGAACCTGGATTTTTATTTCCAAAGACAAACCATACAAGCTGTAATTTGCAGATAAAAACTTACATAAAATTTCAAAGTGTATGAAGTTTAAAACTTCATAAAGTTTCACATTAAGGAGCGGAGGCTTCTTTCTCTCATCTCACAGAAACAAGTCTTGAAAATACTCATCGAATTCTTCTTCCCTATTTTTTAAAAAAAGCATACATATTAAGATCAATAGAGTAAAAAATTACTACATGACACATTATATAAGATTAATAAAATAAAATAAGTTAACATATTGGCTGATTCTGCTATATATCAATATATTCTCACTATTCAGCCATCAAATAATTCTTAGTTTCTAGAATAATCATAACTATACCCAGTTTAAAATAAAAATATTTCATATGTTGGTACCTCTCCCTAAATGTATTCCCCAAAATTTTGTTTTGAAATACTTGTGAAATGTCATTGCTTCTCTTTACTTTTTTGTCTTACTTTATCACTTCTTTGTTCATTCTCATTTTAAACTATAGTCTCCTCAATAAATACATTTTGAAAAACTATTTTTAAAGAAAAATGTAAGTTTAGGTTACATTGGGGAATAACTAAGGGGAGTTGGGTAAATCTGCTTAGGCTGTAGTTCTTTTACTACTCTGAGCATAGTAAATATATTATGTATTTGTAGCAGTAGATATTATTGTTTTATTTTTTTAAAACAAAAACTAGTATGACAGCAGTGTAGAAGTGTACTTCCCATGCAAGGGGCTCCATTGCATAGGTTTATGATAATCACAGTATCATGGAATAGGCTTCTCGGATACAGCCATCTCTGAAGAAATCCAAACAAGGACCAGAAGGTCATCTTTTAAAGTGAACTGATCAAAGATTTCTTTACCAGGAGGAAGCTGGACCTGTTGGCTGCTTATGACAATGGCTGGGAATACGCTCTAATCTTACCAGGCTAGGCAGTCCTGGGCATTAAACAGATCATCATAATGTTGTATTTTTTCATTAATAAAGCCACGATTATAGCTTCTAAACTGATTTAAAAGGTACATATCATCCAAAAGAAATTAGGCGGGTATGGCGGTGTGCACTTCTAGTCCCAGCTACTCAGGAGGCTGAGGCAGGAGAATTGCTTGAACCTGGGAGGTAGAGGTTGCAGTGAGCTGAGATTGCACCACTGCACTCCACCCTGGGTGACAGAAGGAGACTCTGTCTCTACCAAAAAAAAAAAAAAAAAGGTATGTATTATCTATTAATATCAGCACTTACTGTGATTTTTCATCTGTCTCTGGTAATGGACCCTTCCAAAGTTCAGATTCCGAAGTATTTTCTTCCTTATCAGAGTTTCCTGTTAATTTAAAAGAGATGATTTTTAAAAAATGTATTATATTTAAAACACATTTTTAACTATTTACCAATACAATTAACTTTTTACTTAACTGAGCTTCAATTTTTATGGCTCTCCAGAAGTTTAATTCACTCTCACAGGTATGATAAATTCTTTTGAAACATATATAAATAAGCCAACCAGAGTCTCAGCAAAAAGGCCAAGGATTTTTAAGTCTCATGGAAATTCTCTAAGTTACACTGAGTTAAAGTAGCAATTCCAATATTAACTTTTGTAAGAGAATTATCTCTTGCAATATAGTTGTCTCTGATCTAGCTTCTTCTTTTTCATGGTTCTGCAGAAGACATGCAAGTTAAGACTTATACTTGTAGAGAACATGTTTACATTAGAATTAGCACCTTAAGAACTGAGCTAATATGTAAGACCAGCTAAATTATTTTTTTTTAATTGTCAGACATTTTAAAAAACCAGTGCTGATTACATAATTGGAAGAAGTCTGTTTCAGTGAAGAAACTGGCATTCTCACACATTGCTGGGAGTGAAAATTCTGTAAACCTACTTCTTGAGGAAAATCTGGCAATATAGATAAGTTTAAAACACATACCCTTTGACCAGCAATGCTGCTTTTGGGAATTTGATTATTGACATAGACAAATAAGCACCTCTGTTACATAAGCAAAGATGCACACGGTATAACAACAACAAAAAAATCCAACCTAAATTACCATGAAGTAGGGATTAAGGACTGGTTAAATACTATACAGCTGTTTAAAAATATCAGCATATCTGTATGTACTGCCATAGAAAAATGTCCATTCTATATTAAATTTTTTAAAAGTTACAAAAAGTATGAATAGTATAACATATGTTAAAAGTATATACATGTTATATACATACATGTAATTTTATATATGTATTATAAGTTTGCAAAAACCAACCAAACTTAACAGTGATTATACTACCTGTGGATTTGGAATACTTTTACTTTCTATTTTAAACATTTCTAAATTATTTGTATTTTAAACAAAGACCATGTATTACCTTCAAAATCAGTAAAAACAATATTTTATTTATAAAAACATAATAAAATGGAGATATTTCAAATAAATCACCTGTATTAGTCAACTAAAAATTTAAAAATACTGCAAAATTATCAGGCAATAACACCACATTCCACAAAGTAGTTAAATCAGCAAACAATTCCTCTCCAATAACGATTATTAGTCTAAAAAAGAAATGGTACGAATGTGGCCTGTCAATATAGAATGTCCTTTAGTTAAACACAACGTAAAAATAAAACAGCATTGATTTATTATGGTGGTTCTAGCCTTTTACCTGTTGGACTCTGAACCTTGAATCAACATGTGTCTGAACTTTGCTCCTAACTGAATCTATTCTGGCACCAATTCTAGCAAAAATAGCAAAAGGGGAGAGGGCATTTTGTATTCTAATGATCTACATACAAACGATAAAATTTCAATCTTGAAAACAAGATTCCAGGCTCAATGACAGCCATCACTGGAATGGCCAGTGTCCCAAATTTATAATATGAGGGGAAAAAGAATTAGAATCTTCTCTTATTTTTATGAAAACTCACTAATAAGAAAAACTAACTAGGCTAGTAAGGTTATTACTATGGTGTTACTCTGTTAATGATGCCAGAGAACAAAACCTACAAGGCCTTTAGAAGTGGACAGCTAATTTCAAAAGGATTGACTCTGTTTTCTTATTCTCTTCCAAGAGTACTCCCCACATGCCAGCTTTCTTACACCAGTTTTCTGATATCAGTCAATCAATTTTACTAAAAAAATAAAGTCAGTTTAGAGTAACACTATAAAATAACTGTCTTTAAAAATACCCACTAAAAATGTGGCCAGATATCCCTAGAGAATCAAGTCTACAAGACTGGACTAAATGACCTTTACGGTCCCTTATAACCCTATGAATCTACAGTATCCTGGTTCCCTGAAGGTTGGCAGTCACTACAAATCATTGCTATCATAACTGTTACAACCTACCAGAAGCGGGACAGGTATTATAAGGAAAGAACAACTGGAAGAACAGGCAACACAAAAGAATGCATCACTGGCAAATCTATTCAGTACTTATTGGGAAGTAGTGATCAGAATTTAAGTCACTGACTCTGAGTTGAAAGGGGAAACCCAGAGGTAATTTAATCCAACACTTAGCCAATGAATGAACCTCTCACTGCAACACCTCCAATAACAAGTGGCAATCCAATCCATGCTTGAACACTCACTACTCCAGAGGTAGCCCATTTCTCCATTCCTTTTGTCAGACAGTTCTAAAGGACAAGTTTTTCCTTAAATTAATGCAAAAGTCTGTCTTTGAGCAGTTCTGCCAACTCAGAGTCGTAAAAAATAAGTCTCCTACGTAGTAGCAGCCTTGCAAATGTCCAGACAGTAATTTCCATGTCTACTTCCTCACCTCTTCCTTCCCTTCCCTTCACTCGTCTCCCAGGTCAACTTCTGCAGTTCCTCCAACATTCTCCCTAAACACAATTTCAAGTTCTCTCAATACCTCCGTTTTTTTCTTCTTGATCTGCTTCAAGTTTTCAATGTTCCTTTAGAATGTGGTGCCTAAGACTGCATACAATTTTCCCTGTATATTTTGAATAATGAAAGCAGGCCTATCATCTTGGCTTCTGTGGCTATTACAAGAAAACTAATAACTTGCCCTACTGAAGAAATGGCAAATGTTTCCAATAATCATGATAACAAATGGACAGGTCAGATTTTTATAGACTTAACTTTTCATTTCATCAATTCTAGAGAACAAACACAGGATTTATATCTCTGTATTTTTCTTTTCTGATAATAACAGCTACGGGTTATCAAGGACTTACTTTGTGTCAGCACATACTTTACATGTATGTTTTCTCATTCAATTCTGATAATAATCCAACAAAGTAGGTCTCTTTATACCCATTTTACAGACAGAAGTGAGGCATAGATCAAATCATTTAATGTGGATCTGTATAATGCATACGCCAAAACTAGGGTATAAAGAATAGACAGACAGTTGATTTCACTGATGAACAACTGATTGATGATGCAGATAAAGGGCATAGACTTTGGAATTATAAACTTATGTTTAATCCCAGCTCTGTCATCAACTACTTGACCTTGGACATTTTACTTCAATTCTCCGGTTCTTGGGAGATGTCATGTGCATGGTGACTACAGACAACAATACTTGAAATTTGTTAAGAGGGCAGCAAATCATCAGTATACTTTAAATATATGCATTTTTAAAAATTAAGTTTCTTCATTCATTTAAAAACATTCTCTAGGTCTTGATTTTTCTCATCTACAAAATGAGAATATTATATGCCCATTATTAAGATTAAATGAGGTAACACATCTAAAGCACTTATTACTGAGCTGACAGAAACTGAGTTTTTCTCCATGGCTTTGGTTTTAATAACCCATATGTTAAATGGGTTAAGAAGGTAACTGAGT